TGCTTGCAATTCTCTTTAACGCATGTTTTGATCTGTGCTACTTCCCAGCCGCCTGGAAAGAAGCAATAGTGATAGGCATCCCCAAACCCGGAAAACCCGCGCACCTCCCCAGTAGCCATCGCCCTATTAGCCTCCTTAAGGCAATGGCGAAACTTTTCGAAAAAACCATACTGACCAGACTAAGAGAGCACCTCCTATCACCATCCGATCCTATTATCATTGACCACCAATTCGGCTTCAGAGCCAAACACTCCTGCCCCCAACAGATCCATCGCATAGTGGAGCACGCCCTAAGCGGCTTCCAACTTAATAAATATAAAACTATTGCAGTCTTCTTCGACGTCGCCAAAGCCTTCGACAAGGTTTGGCACGACGGATTAATCTTTAAATTATATCAATTAGAGTTACCTGACCGCCTAGTTAGGTTAGTAGCCTCTTTTCTATCAAACCGCACCTTCCGCTATAGATACGAAGGTTCACTATCAACGCCCCGCCCACTACGAGCCGGTGTACCGCAGGGGTCCGCTCTCTCCCCCCTGCTATACACAGCGTACACCAATGACATCCCTCAGACCAAGGGTGTCGAGCTCGCTCTCTTCGCGGACGACACGGCCCTCTACTCTAGGGGAGCCAGTACCAATCAAATCATAGCCAAGCTCCAACCGGCAATCACAACACTTGGGAATTGGTTCCGCGATTGGAGAATCGACGTAAATCCGGACAAAAGTTCGGCCATTTGCTTCGATCCCAAGCGCCGCACCAAAACCATACAACACGGTGCGCTGTCTCTGCGAATGCAAGGCATAGCAATACCGTGGCACCGCACAGTCAAATACCTAGGGATCACACTAGACAAAAAACTCACCTTCCGTGCACACATCACACGCGTAGTCGCGAACGCGCGCTTTTATATGAGCCGCCTCCACCCGATGCTCGGTAAATACAGCAAAATGTCACTTCGTAACAAGCGAACGCTTTACAAAGTTTGCATACGCCCGGTCCTCACTTACGCGTCACCAGTGTTCGCACACGCGGACGAAGCGATTTTGAACAAACTTCAAGTGCTTCAAAATCGCTTCTGCCGCATAGCCACAGGGGCCCCGTGGTACGTCCGCAACGCGGACCTCCACAGGGACCTTCAACTCGACACAATTCAAACACACCTCACAGAGTGCTCGGAACGGTTCTTCAAAGCTGCAGAAGAGCACTCTAACACACTCATTAGATCGGCGTCGGGATACGCTCCACACACTCCATCTCGATTCAGGCCCCGCAGGCCTAAACACGCACTCACAGCCACACACAATAAACTCACGCGCGATCTCGCGGCCCTCTTGGCCGCTGAGGATCCAACACCCGCGGTGAGTCCCCCCCGCCCCCCCGACACAGAGAGGTTCGATTCCTCTCAGTCCCCTCCCGTTTCAAGTGCACATCTGAGTGCACTTGTCCTCTAAGCGCATTTTGCGTTATTTTAAACTATGCACTAGTTTAAACTAACGCAGCGCCGCATCATCCCCCTCTCGGGGGGTGATCGCTTCAGATGAAGCTTGTAAGGCCCTTCTGGCCATAAGCATGAATAAAGGGTGTTTTTTAGTCAGTAAGAGTCTGACATAACCTTACAGCCGGCTGTAGGGTATCCATGAGGATTTCTCACCCTCTCCCCCGCCTGGGAGGAAACAAAAAAAAAAAAAAAAAAATTATATTTTGTAAGATGCCAAATCTATCTTTGGGACCAAAACTACCCTAAGATTATTTAAAGTGCCACCGTGAGAAAGAGCGCGCTTGTTAGCATTGGCATTAATTATTAATTTTATAAATACTTTGAAACTTATTTATAGCAATAAAAGCAAATGGAATGGAAATAAAACTGTTCAATAAATTCAGATTTCTTTATTTTATAAGGGAAATAACTACTTTCAAAATGATTAAATGTTTAAAGTATACTATTTATTGATTATTAAAATACCAAACCAAGTATAAAATCTTTACTCGCAAATAACTAACCTCTTATTTTAATTTTTAAGATTACAGAAGTAATTTCAATTGCAAATCGCAAAAGTATATTATTATAATATGACTTACAATATTAAACAAATATAATTCCCATAAAAGTTATAAACAACATTATGAAAATGATTACTTAACTCAGAGCTCCGCTCGCTCCGATGGCTCGATACAGAATCGCCCCGCAAAGGTTTTTTTTTTTGTTTCCTCCCAGGCGGGGGAGAGGGTGAGAAATCCATCATGGATACCCTACAGCCGGCTGTAAGGTTATGTCAGACTCCTACTGACTAAAAAACACCCTTTATTCATGCTTATGGCCAGAAGGGCCTTACAAGCTTCATCTGAAGCGATCACCCCCCGAGAGGGGGATGATGCGACTGGAGCTCGGCCTTATAAAGGCGGCGACAAACAACTAACGTCATCGGGCCGTTCAGAACACGTGTACAAAGATTTCGCTGACTACCCGCAATTTATGAAATATTCTATTAAATTATGTAATTTAGTGCTAGCAATAGATTTTCATAGTCTTTTATATAAAACCTACATTACAAAAATCAAGTATGAGTATTGAAGCAGCAATAACATCACTGAATAAACCATTATTAAGTGTTCAATAATTATACAGCCGTCTCGATGTTTATTATCTAACACGCTTATGCTAATTAAGTACATACACACATAAATAATGTTAAAAAAGCCTTTTACATTTATTATTGCAGAAAATAAGTAAGGTTGTGTTTTTTATTTTCGACATTAAAAGTGTCTGGCAATCAAAACCGCTGACAGAATATGTCAGGCAGTATTAATTTCAAATTATTTACAATATTCTCTTTTTTTCCTTTTTTTTTATAGATAGGTCCGACAAATGACTCCACCCAACCTGATGTTAAGTGAAGGTGAAGTCCAGACGCGAAGATAGCTGATACAGCAGTTCTACCTGCCACACCAGCCATCCTCACCCTGCCGACCGGCATGTTGCTTCTTCACGCCTCTTTTAAAGGATCCCAGGGTGTAAGAGGGAGGGAACACGTGAGCGGGCAGAGCATTCCATTTACGGATAATGCGACAAAGAAATGAGTCACCAAAGGAGATTGCTCAGCTTCCATACATGTTTGGCCTAAAGACCAATAATCATGAAAAATTGTTTCCCAGATTCGAAATTATATATAAATTACTGTAGAAACGAATATTATTGACGGACACCCCTGAGAACTTCTATAAACCATATACACTGAACATATTAAAATGTATGTAATGTATATATAATGTATATATTAAAATAATAAAAAATAAAAAAGTTATATAGTAAACTAGGGAAATCAAGCCAAGTACCGAAATTATGGATTAGATTCAGGTATATAGAGCATGTAGATTAACAGATAGTTGCCTGTTTTTAAAGTTAATACATAAGAGTAACTTTAAAAATCAGGTGTCATTTCCGGTTATAATAAGGTACTCTGTGACAGAAACTGTGTAATGATTGTCAATGAGCCACAGATAAGAGAGCGTTTTTAAACTCTCGGTAACCAAAGAAAGCTAAGAGATTTAGGTTCTATAGCCAAAATATTCAGTAGCTTCATTATTTTTGTTATGTTTTTAAGATAACCATATTTTAGATTTTTAGTGTATCACACCTTATAATTTTATTTATTTATTAATTTATAGTCAGGGAACGTAGGCCCATAGATAAATACCTTAAAGTCTAACATATATACAGATTATAATGTGTTTAAGGAGGTCTTTGGCGAAAAATGTATGTCAATAGACTTTATGATGTCGCCTACCATCTATAATAATTGCACAATTGCATCCAGTGAAAATGATAATATAGTGGTGGATATTAATACCACAGTGTAATAAAAATAAAAAAAAAATATCGATCTTTACAAATAGATTTGTTTTTATGTTATATAAACAACTTCGATCAGTCTTTGGCTGAATGTTACTACACCCATAGCCATTAAAAATGATTCGTATGTTTTCCAAACCAGTAAAATTAAAAGTCCTTTTTTAAGTAAATATATTATACAAAGGTGTCCGTTGAAATCTAATGACTGTAAATTAAATTATAAGTAAGATGGTGACAATGTAGGCCAGCGCGCGTGGTCCTCTGAAGGAAAGGGGAACGTGGGATAAGAGAGAATAACTCCTCAGAACACTCGCCGTGGTACAGACGATAGAACGCGCTCAGTGACGCCACGTCACGGCGTAATTGAAGAGGCTCAAGGTGTTTAGTCACCTCCTCACCGCATATGATGCGGATCACGCGCCGCTGTAACCTATCCAAAGCATCGAACAAGTACGTGGCGGAGCCATCCCAGAGGGGCGAGCAATATTCCACGCAGGACCGCACTTGCGTTTTGTACAACAAGCACAGTTGATCGGGCGTGAAAAAACGCCGCACCTTGTTCAGGACTCCGAGTTTGCGTGAAGCTGTTTTGATCACGGACTACAACATACGCAGGAACCAGTCCTCAGAATTTAAGTAAAGTGTGTAAATTTTTTACGTACCTGTACCACCTGATATCTGAAAATTGGTCCACAACACAAGTTAGCAAGTAAGTTCATTCGTTCATGTTCATCTACTATATAAAAATAAGTCGGGTTTTCCTTTCTGACGCTATAACTCCAGAACGCACGAACCGATTTCCACGGTTTTGCATTCGTTGGAAAGGTCTCGGGCTCCGTGAGGTTTATAGCAAAGAAAATTCAGGAAAAATTAAAAAAAAAACTTCTTTTAATCACCAAACGAAATGTTACATAAAACGAAGCCATCTGGTGGCGAAACGGAGTTCGCCGGGTTTGCTAGTTGTATATAAATACTACTCAATTATCTATATTGTGCCCATGTGAAAATAAGTAAGGTCTGGTGGTCTTTGGATACTATGGCAACACAACGTGACTTTAAATGACATTAAGTTTATTCTAATTACCTTTGTGAGTACGGCCATTAGAGGTCTTTATAACAATGATTTAAAACAATGTGAATGCCTTACCAGAATATGAACTGTGTGTGTGCATATGATGCCGGCTAACAGAGTGCCGATGGCTCCCGCAACCAGACCCGCGTTCTTGAATGCGGCGGGCATGGCCAATATTCCAGAGCCCAGACATGCTTTCAGTAGGTGTACTATTGATCCAATTGTACTAAAACAAAATGGATACAAATCAAATCACATTTATTTGCAAATACAGGTTTTTATATATGTATATATATATATATATATATATATATATATATATATATATATATATATATATATAGCTAGGAAGGCAAATGACTCTACGCCACCTGATGTTAAGTGGTGATAAAGTCCAAACGCGAAGATACAGCAGTTATAAATTGCCACACCAACCATCTTCACCTTGCCGGCCTGCAAAAATGCTTCTTCACGCCTCATAAATATATATATTTAAGGTTATACAAATATGCTAACAAAATTACATAGTAGCTTATTCCATATTTTACCACAAAGCATGCAAACTTTACAATAAATTTGTCATTTAATAAAACGTTAATAATAAATAAAAAATACGAAATAATAATGAAACGAATAGAGAAACTCAGTTCATTAGGATTTTAACTATATTAAAACAGTTTTGGTATACTATTGATGCAAAATTTCATCTTCAGCAGCAAATTGATGTTCCCACTGCTGGGGCACTGGTATTCCCTATGAAATGGAATAAAGAGATTTGGCCATAAATCATGGCCCAATCATGCGGGGCCAGTGCGGATTGATCGGTTTTAACGATTGCAGATGCAGACGGGAGCATCGGTAACGGCTGAATGTGCCTTTCGAAGAACGGGAGAAGATAATGAGTTTTTGGCCACCCACTATGACCAGCCATTGCGAATCGCAGAATGAACGCTCTAGCCACTGCAACATCGAGCTGATCAATAAATCGAGAATACTTGGGGTGTGATCTACAATAGATACCAAAGTCAAAAATATATTTTTTAGAATTTTTGTCTGTATGTATGTCCGGGATAAACTCAAAAAGTACTGCATCGATTTACTTAAAATTTGGCACGAATATTATTAAGAAGTCGGCGCAACATATAGGCTACATATGTGTTATCGCGCTGTCACCTACGGGTAACGAGCAGTGAACCTTTATTTCTTCGAGGCATTCTATAACAACGTGTAATCTAACGACGTATATTTGAATGTTGTTATTAGGTTAACCATGCTATAAGCAGGAACTCGATGGCGCGGGTGGTTAGCGCGTTTGGCTGTGATCGTTGAAGTTAAGCAACTTTCGTAGTGGTCGGTCATTGCATGGGTGACCAAAAATCTTCTATCTCGAGTTCCTCCGTGCTTCAGAAGGCACGTTAAGCCGTTGGTCCCGGCTGCATCTGCAGTCGTTAGCACCCGCCAATCCGCACTGGGCCGCGTGGTAGGTTATGGCCCAATCTCCCTATTCTCAATAGGGAAGGCCTGTGCCCCAGCATGGAGACATTAATAGGCTGATGATGATGATGATGATGCTATAAGCTAGCTTTACACTATAAGTAACTTAGGCCGATAAACATAATAGACAATTTTAAAGCAGCGCCATCTATGAGATTTCAAAAACATCAAGTCGAATTACATCTGTAAGCACTTTTTGGACATAAATAATTTAAATTTGATCATGTGTGCGAGGTCAATAGTTGTTTTAAAAGTCATAGATGGAGTTGTGCATTTTCTTCTTAAAAATTGTATCGTTAATTCGTTTCAGAGATGAGCAAGAAAATTAAAAAAATGTGATTATATAAGTTTTAAGCTGCTTTATCTATGTCTTATAAAATTCATCGAGTTTGTCTGTATGTAATTACAAACAGAACTCAAAAAGAACTGCATAGATAAACTCGAAAACGGTACGCTATTTCTGTAAGCAATTTGAGCTAAATAACGAAGAGAGAGGAAAATTAAGCATGCCATATAAATTTTAAAGATAAGACATGCTTATTTTTTTACAGTATAGAATAAATAGTAATAGAGTTAGTACACTGTGTCCGGGGATTTGACACCCAAAAATGATCAGGCGGCAGCAATTAACGAATGCATTTTCTCGGAAATTGAGGGGAATTAAGTGGCCTAGACCTCTATAAACACTGTCTTCGAACAAGATGACGCCACACATTATCCCGTGGAATTTCTGAACTCCCTATCAGCAAGTGGGCTTCCAGCGCATACCATCAAATGCTTCTTCGGAACCTATCTCTCCTCCGAAGTTGTGTATCGGGACCCGCCTTAAAGCCATCTCGCCATAATTGGTCTCAATGGATTTACTATGGAGCTGGTAGCTTCTTAAATGAAAGATCCCTTTTCCTTTTGAGTGCGCTTGATGTAGTCTGTAGCTATCGATGCGGTAGTGGAGAAAGAGGACGAAATCGAAATCCGTGTCTTCTTCTCGCGCGCCGCAGGTTCTAGCTTGATGCTATTTCCATAGTAGCGGAGTCGCACCTCATTATCAGAATGAGCCGGTCGTTTGCGTTGAACCTTCCCTGAAACACAGCTTAAGACACCGCCTTCAGCACGGTCCAGCCCACCGGGTGAGACCCATGAGGGAGGCCCAGTGAGCGGTGGACTTAATGTGAGGGGAGGGTAGTATCGTGAAATTTTGGGTAGTTGCGTGGTCATCGTGTTGTGCAGGTAGTCGGAGTCAGTGGGCCTAACTACTATAATTATGTCACAACTAAAGGTCCTCTGTGGTTTCACCTGCGTTAATTTGGGGAAAAAGATCATAGTGAGTTAAAATTAAAAGATGGGAAAAAGACGATGGTGTCCGACTGTCCGCCCTATAGCTGTTGGCTCCACCTTTCGGAGTATAGCATCAAAAATTTGTTGTCACCACATTTTACCGACTGTTTCAGCTCAATTCCAACCAGTTCAGCTTGGTTTTTGTGTCAAGCAGGTGTCAGCAATTAAACAAAAACTCCCACTATTTATAACTATCTTTGGCAAAGCTACAGCAAATCAACTAAACTTCTTTTTAAAAAGCAATATACTCGTATAGTATATCTGTTGACTGTCAGCAAGGCGATCCCCTCGGGCCCTTTATTTTTTGTTTGGCTATATAACCTATCATTGATTCGCTGAATTCAAAATTATGTGTGGTACTTTGATGATGAAACTATCGCCGGCGATATTTTACTTCATTATTGTTAAATTCAAAAGTATTGGCCTTGACTTAAATTATTCAAAATGCGAGCTATTTATCCCAGAATCAAAATTATCACCTGAACAATTACAACACATTATCACCCAATTTTCGGCTTTAGCCCTTAATATAAAAATTCTTGATTCTAAATCACTTCGTCTCCTAGGTTCCCCGACTTTTGATGATGCTATTCCTATTTTTATAAATGAACAAATTTCAGAATTTCAGCCATACTCCGTAAAAATATTAAAAATTAATCCCCACATGGCTTTATATTTAATTCGTTTTTGCGCTTTCGCCCCAAAATTTATATATTTTTACGTAATGGGCAATTGAAATTGGGCATATGATGTTACAGGCTTTTTAATAGAACCTTTAAAGGGAAACAATTCCGTTATACATGATTTTGGTGTAACTTTAACAGTTAACGCAGCACACGCAATGGAAACTCACAAATGGAATATTTTTACTCGTTTTTGCAATATTTTTTATCGATGTACCGCTCCTCCTGGTCGTAGCGTGATGTCATTATATAGAAAAAGTCATTATGTATAATACAAGCCTGACAACAAAACTTTAGTCTATACAAAGGTCTAAGTCGAAGCAAAGCGAGGGCTGGCCACTTGTTAGGTATAACCAAAAAGTTATTTAATAATGTGTTGACATCTGTTGTAGGAATTTTCATTTTCTTACTCCTTTAAACCCAAAGGTAATGGAAGGAGAAAGTGGTGTCGATTTAACTGTCTTAATGGATACCAAGCATTTAGTAGGTACCTACTCTAGCAGTCCCGACAACAAGTTGCCTAAAGGTCAAAGCTCATTAAAACCACCCGGTACCGCCTCGTCGCGCGACGACTAGTGGTCTACGAGCAAACTCAGTTTCGCCGCGTTGCCAACCAGCTAATGTTAGGTGGGCCATAGTTGGATGCCTCGTTGTCAACGTCAGGTGGTCCATGAGTGAACGCCACGCCGCTGCGTAGTTGACTCTGCGTTGTCAGCAAAGGTTAAGTAGTGTCTTAAAGGTTGACACGAGGTTTACATGTGTGTTTTCACATTGTTTAATGTTACAAACCGTGATTGGGCTAATAGCTGTCGCGCTTGATGAAGAAGAAAATGAAATGTGTTGTCGACTTATAGGCCGCGCGCGGTCCACTCACGAGCAGTGCGTTTTTTTAATAATAATAAAGAATTAATTTGATATGTTTACAATCAACGGCCAGCACACGGCCAGAATACGAGCAGTGGATGATCACCGCGTTTTTCACTCGCCGCCCACGCTCGGAATGCTTGTAAGCGAGGCAGTCCGGTGACGGTACGGAGTTGATGTAGTGAGCGCATACCGATTTCGGTTCTTGGCGGTTCTTCTCAGTACAAGGTCTCCCTACGTAGATTTGCGAACCAATGGCGTAGCTTTTCGACATTCATTCTTAAGTGCTTGTAACACCCTAGACTGGATAAATCGTATTGAATTATGAATTTTCAGATTGTTTTTTTACTAATAAATCCGTACAAAAAATATCAACTGCATGAGGCGTTGGTGGTGAAATGTTAGATAATGAGCTATGACCTTAATGCGGAGACCTGGAAATAATTCCACGGAGGATTAAACGATTCCGTAATGAACCAGTGTTACAGTGAGTGTTTAGGTACTTGGTATACCTGGGAAATGCAAGATGTTTGGTAAACTGTGGATTATTACTTATTTGGTCGACCATCTCTAAGCAATCCGTTCGTGCCTATTACACTTGCTTCAGGCGATCTAGATAAAAAAGGAGCTTCACGCCAGGCAAAATCACAGGAAAACAGATTTCTTATTAAATTCACAAACGTAAAATATTACCTTTATAATATTACAGGCGGTTAAAACCCATTTATGAATATAAGGTTTTTTATCTGTATTCCAAAGGCTTTAAGGCAACGATGTCACCCTTGAATATGTGGTTTTTCATTAGTTTTCTAATCTAAAAAATATATTCAGTTGGGTAAGCGAGTCGACC